CATAGGCCTCCATGGTGCGCCCTAGGACGGCTTGAAAGACCCGGGCCACCATCCGGGTGTAGGTGGCCCCTGAGTTCTTTAGGCCGAAGGCCATGACTAGGTAGCAGAAGATGCCCTCGGGAGTCATGAAGGCAGTTTTTTCGGCGTCTTCCTCGTGCATAAAAATTTGGTGATACCCTCGGAAGGCATCGAGGAAGGACATGATCTCACACCCTGCGGTCTCATCCACTAGTTGATCAATATTTGGTAGAGGGAACGGGTCCATAGGGCACGCCTTGTTGAGATCGGTGTAGTCCACGCACATGCGGAAGGTAGGGGGCTTCTGTGCCAGGACCACATTCGCTAGCCATGAGGGGTATTTCACCTCCTTGATGTGCTTAATAGAGAGGAGCATGGCGACCTCCTTCTTCACAAATTCCCTCCTCTCGGCGGAGAGGGGTCTTCTTCGTTGCTGCACTGCCTTTGCCGAAGGGTCCACCGAGAGGCGGTGGGTGATGACCCTTCGGCTGATTCCCGGCATGTCCTCCGGACCCCATGCAAAGACAGTGGAGTAGGCGCGGAGGGCGTCGGTGATACCGGTCTTCAAATCTTCAGGGAGCTGGGCTCCAATCTTCACGACTCTCTCCGGCTGGGCCGGATCGAGCGCAAAGTCTTCTGCGTCCTCGGCCGGTTTAGCCCTCGGCCTTCTTTCCTCTTGGTCGATGGTTCCGGTGATGGTGTCAACACGGAATTCCGTCTTGCTTACCTTCTTAGTGACCTGAAGATAGCAGGCGCGGGCAATTTTCTGGTTCCCCGGGAGTAGCCAATTCCCCCCTCGGCGGGAAACTTGAGGCAGAGATGCCTCATGGAGATGATGGCTTCGAGGTCCTCGAGGGCTGGCCGGCCGAGGATGATGTTGTGGGCGCAGTCAATGTTGACGACGACGAACTCCACCTCGAGCTGGGCTCTATGGAGCCCGTCGCCGAAGATCACTGGGAGGGTTATTACCCCCTCAGAATCAATAGTGTCGCCGGTGAAGCCGGCAAGAGGGGTCTTAATGGGCCGAAGGGACCCCCTCTCCAGATGCAACTCTCTGAAGGTGCTGAGGTACATTACATTGACGGAGCTGCCCGTGTCAATGTAAGTTCGGTGAATAATGGTGTCGTTTATCTCCGTCCGAATCACCAAGGCATCCCTGTGAGGAGAAGAAGTAGGAGGGAGATCTGCGTTGGTGAAGGTGATGGGTTCCTCCCTCAGTCGCTTTACCGGAGGCATATGAGTGACTTCCCCCACGTAAAGCGATTGAGCCCACTTCTTTCGTTGGCTGGTGGAATCGCCCCCTGTATTGCCACCGGTGATCATGAGGATGTGGCGTTTTTTCTCCTGGTAGTGGGGGTATTCCTCCTCCTCTTCTTCCAAGTTCCCAATCTCCCTTTTCTTGCCGAGGGGGATGGTATTCGGGTTTACCCAAGCGTTCACCTTCGTGTGGTGCCCTCGGGGAGGCCCCTGATGAGAAGGTCCCTCCTGCCGAGGGCTCTGAACAAATTGGGACAGGTGCCCTGCTTGTATTAACCTCTCGATGGCCGTCTTTAGCTGATGGCAGTCATCGGTCCTGTGCCCCTGGTGCCGATGGAAGTGACAGTAGGGGAACTGAGGGTTGATAGCGTGTACCTCCGGGGGTGCGCGAGAGTCGCGCTCAACGAGGCCCCTCTCCTCGGCAAAATCGAGGATGATGCTGACGGGGTGCGTCAATGGTGTCCGAGGGCGGTCCAGGAGAATGGGCTGGGCCTAAGTCTTAGGGTTGCTCTTATAACCTCCCCCAGGCTTGGCTTGGCCTTGCCGAGGGCGGTCATCAGAGGGTCCCGAAGCCTTGGGATGATTGGGAGGAGCCCCCGGCCCCCGGTTATGCTTGTTGTCAGCCCTCGGGGGCTGCTGGTCCGGATGCTGGTGATACTTCTCCACCTCCTCGGCCTCAGCATATCGGTCCCCCCGCTGCAAAGCCCTTATGTAGTCGCGGGGGGGTTGAATGATGAGGCTCCTTGAAAAGTTGCCGGTGCGGAGGACGGTTTGTAGGAGGGCCAGGAGGGTCCCGTCATCAGCACCGTCGACCTTGTCAGCCTCCGTCCTCCAGCACTCTAGGAAGTCCCGAAGGGTCTCATCCCTCTTCTGGCGTATTGTTAGAAGGTGGGAGAAGTGCTTCCTTGTGCGACGCCTCCCGACAAATTGTGTCAAGAACCGCTGGGCGAGTTCTTGCCATGAATCAATACAGCCCTCGGGCAGCCTGTTGAACCATTCGTATGCCGGCCCCTCTAAGGTGGAGAGGAACCAACGACACAAATATTCGTCCGACGCCCCTACCATCATCATGCTGTTCTGGTACTTGCTGTAATGTTCCTGGGGGTCCGTTTTTCCGTTGTAGGGCTGTATATGTTGCCCTCGGTATTTTTCCGGGATCCGGGCCGCCAATACCCTTGGAGTAAATGGCGTTCGAGTCCGGAGCTAGATGACGGGTTCCCCGGAGCCCTCGGCCACCTTCTTCTGTAACTCCTCCATTTTGGCCATCATGGCCTCGTATTTGAGATCTGAATGAGGGGTGGAGGTGGTGGCGTGAGCTTTGTTGGACTCCATCTCGTCAAGCCGGCGTTGGAGGGCCGCAATAATCTCGTCCCGGGGATCCTTCGGGAGGGTCTCCGCCCCCTGCGAACGAACCCGGTCCGAGTGGGCCTGGTTGATTTGGTGTCGAGCATCATCGGCATGAAGGGGTGCCTTGCCTTTGTCCCGAGGGGGACGCTCCTCGTCTGCCCTCGAAACAGATCCCCCGCTTTCCTGGGGCCTTTGGAGTGCTTTCCCCCCGAGGCGGTCTTGGACCCCTCGGCGGTCTGGCCCTCCTCCGAGCCGGTTGAGGGCGGAAGTACGGGGCCTTTCCCTGTTGTCATTATGGCGGTCCCGGGACTGAACTTCCTGGGAGGACGTACTTGGGCCACCACCCCTTCGTCGTTTCTCACCCGAGGGGTGGGATTTCCGAAGGGGTGTGGCAGAGGGGGAAGTATGATATTTTCCCCGATCTGAGGGTGAGCTGGAGCCAGGGTGCTGAAGGCACCCGGGTTCTGGGTGAGCGTCTGGATGAAGGCGGAGAGCACCGATTGCACGTCGATGGTGAGAACCGGAGGGCTGACTTGGTCATCGCTCCGGTTTTTCTTCTTGGCCTCGATGCCGAGGCGGGCATCGGGGGCATTTTGTTGGATCTGAAGGCGTAGGTCGACAGCCGCTTGTTCCAGCCCAGCGATGACACCGCCCTCGGGAGCCCTGTGAGAGGCTTCGGGGGCGTTGACGTCGCCGAGGGCCAGGTTCTTGTCTTCTACGTTCTTTGAGTTGGCACGTGTTGTCCTCACCATTTTGATAGAGGGCTAGTGTTTTGTCTTTGGTCGAGGGGGAGGGTTTCTTACTCGATTGTTCGAGCTCTCAACGAGAGCACCAAATGATGGATAGTCTACCCGGGGGTATATATCCGAAGGGTTATTACGGGGAATAACTTAGAGAGAAGTCAGAGCAAGTAAGTAAAAGTAGAGAGAGAGTGTATTCAATATGAATGCCGTTTTCAGCGTGGTTACAAATGGGAAAAGGGGGTGCTATTTATAGTAGCAATAAATGCCGGGCAGGGACACGTGTCAAGCGCTCATTGGCCGAGGGGTCACCTCAACTGGTTGGCGCTGGCAGCCGCATGTGGCCGCATTTAATGCGGCTGTTGGACGGGACGTCTGTGCGGGGTACGGTGATCTGTACGCATGTGAGGCGGATATCTTGTCGAGTGAGATGCCTTCGGCTATAGAGCAGTAGCCGAGGGCTCTTCCACCCGATGGCACCCTGGTGCCGAGGGCTCACAGTGCCGAGGGCTACTGTTTTCGCCGTTTTCTCCCAGTTTCTTAATTTGCTTGAGAAACCCGTTCTGTGAGAATTTAGAGCCTTCGGCCAGGGGGACGAAGGCACCCCTGGCGCGTAATGCGGGCTGCTTGGTACTCCGGGCGCTGTGATTTGGGCCTGCTGGGCCTTCTGGGCCTGTTGGGCCTTCGCTGGAGTAGTAGGAGTCTGTGGGCCGGGGGTTCCCGGGCCATGTACTCCATCAGGTCCCTTATTACAAGTAGGGGTGGGCACGGGACGAAACGGGACGGGAATTAGACTATCCCGGTTCCGAACCCTGTTTAGGATAACTGGATAGAATGGGACGGGACAAGATGTTGTCCCGGTGTTGTCCCTATTAAACCGGTACCGGAACAGAACGGGACGGTTCGGGACATCCCAAAAAAATTGCAGCGAAAAAAATACAACTCCAAAAAGAAACTTCATGACAAAAACTGCAACACTAAAAATGCAACACATACAAAAATTTACGATAAATGCAACACAAAAAATAGTAGATTAATAGGATAGTTGCACGAAACAAACCGTAACAACAACAATTAACTCCAACACACACAATACTACTAAGAAACTACAAAATAAATAAAAAGACAAACAATATTATTAGAAATGAAACATGTGAAGTATAGGTGAGTTTCTTCTTAGTATGTAGAAGAAATCAATAAAAAGACAAACAATATTATTAGAAATGAAACATGTGAAGTATAGGTGAGTTTCTTCTTAGTATGTAGAAGATAGTTCATACTTGATATAATTTAGACTCCTTTAGGTGTTTTACATATTAAATAACTAATACCTAATTAATATTAATATTCATTAGTATTTGAATTGATGGTAGACTCACTAACCCACAACTATATACTCCGTACAATTTTGAATTCGGGACAACGAGACGGAACGAGACATATTTTATTTGTCCCGATCCCGTTTTGTTTTGAAACGGTTCGGAACCGGAACGGGACAAAAATAGTTTGTCCCGAATTTAACGGGACAATTTCGGAACGAAACGAGAACGTTCCGGAACGGACCAACGGGACCAGGTCTTTTCCCCCACCCCTATTACAAGTATATGATAAAGAAATACGGAGCAATAAAAATACTAACTGGTGCAGTGAACAAATAGTCTGGCCCAGTAGCCTATTGCCCAGACCAAAATCAAGGGAAGAACTACCGTTTGGCCAAGTCCCAAGTTCGGCCGCACCCGCCTCACGCCGCTGCAGCCCGACACACAACATCCGCGTCACGCCGCCGCTTTCCAGCACGCCACCCGACATCTCTACCTGGTTGTCTGCGTATCACTTCTTAGCTTTGTGGGAGTTTGGGTTGCCTTCTGCAGTTCTGCAATTCTGCTAATCGGCCCAGCAGCCCCAGCAGGTAAGTTAAGTGTTTATTCTTTAATTTTTTTATTATTTCAATTTCCTTATTTAATAGCTTGAAAATTGAAATCTCGTTTCTTAAATGTTTTGTTTGAGTGTTTGACTGTTAGTGTTTAAGTGTTTTACTAACATGAATATAAATTTGTAAAATTGTAAAATGTCTATTTGTTTTACTATTATTGGTTAATAATTTGTATCATTGTGTAATTTCATTTGTAAATTTGAAAATTAGGATTCTGAAATTCTTAACATTTTAATAAGAATTATGTGATCGAAAATAATATATTGATTCTTTGTTATTTTTTTGTAATTTAAGTAGGTATGACTACCCAAGCTACTTGTAAAAAGGTAAAAATAACATTACATTTGTATTTGAGCGCTTAACAAGTATAGAAAATAGTCCAAATTTGTTTGAAACTCCAAATATTTCACCCGTTCTGAAAAGGAAAAAACAACATTACATTCATTTCTAAGCCTAATACATTATGAATTTTAATGGATTTTAATTATTATGTTTAAACTGTTTACTGGGAATACTGGCTACACCCCTGTCCACGAGGATATGTAATTATCTAACATATAAATAGAACACGTGACTGACGTGAGCCAAGCTTCACCCCATCACACCCTCACTAAGAGGGGGTGTTGTAAACTCAAACTTTAAGGGCCTGTTTACTAATAGAGATATTTTTTGTTTTCTTTTTCTGTTCTCCAATTTTTTGTTTTCATTTTCCAGTTTTTCTATCTCTAATTTTTTATGTTTTCATTTTTTAGTTTTCCATGTTCAAATCTGAAACATGTTCATACAATTTTTTCACCTGGTTTTGTGACCAACCAAGAGATCGAAAGTATGGTCCCAGTCCAGAACCGAACCTAGTGCAACCTAAGTAAGGTGCTGGGTCTTACGTATAGGAAAGTCAGGACCTGAAACCGGCCAACCCCGGTCGATCTCAACAGTTACTTTGATGAATTCTTTTCCGATTTTCCTATTAATTGACAACTCAACTGCTCTTTTAAAACTCTTTACTTTAAAAAATGTTTTTGAAAAACTGAGGCTGGACCGCCGGGTCATTGACCGGCCCGGACAAAGACTGTCGGTTCATTTACGGGACTAGCCTGGGACCACCCAATTATCGATCGGACCGAACACAGACCGTCGGGTCATTTGCCATACAGGATGGGGACCGCCGGGTTGTTGATCGCACAAGTCGATAATCAACGGGTGGTTGACCGAACATGATGGGAACCTCCGGGTCATTGTCCAGACCGTACGGGGACCGCCGGGTCATTGTTCGGACCAGACTGGACGGGGACTGTCGAGTCATTGGTTAGATCGGATCGGGACTGCCCGACCGTCAACCGGACCGAACAAAGTACCGTCTGATCGTGGATTGGACCAGACAAGGACCGTCGGTTCATCAACCGTACCAGACAAGGACCGCCGGGTCGTGGACCGGACGTCCGGACCGGACAGAGACCGCCGGGTCATGGAACAGACCGGACAGGGAGCGCTGGATCGTGGACCGGACCGGACAGAAGCCGTTAGATCGTGGACCAGACCAAACAGGACCGCCGGGTCGTCGTCCGGACCGGGACTGTCAGGTTATCGACCAGACTGGACCGGGATGTCTCGGTCATTGACCAGATCGGACATGGACCGCCGGGTCGTTGACCAGACTAGATAGGGACCTTCGGGTTGTTGACCGGACCAGATTGGAATTGACACCAGAACGAGATCAGATCCAACACTAGGCGTAAGTATGCAAATTCATTGCAGCGGCACTGCAACATCCGCATATTCCAAATTTTGAAAACTAGTAAAAGTCACTTCTCCAATTCATTAAGGAAAATAGAGATATATTTTTTTGTTTTGTTTCGGAAACGATTTGGTAAACACATTTTTTTGTTTTCTTTTCTCCAGTTTTCCAGCAATTTTTCTGGTAAACACGTTTTGTGTTTCCCTTTTTCCACTTTTCTAGTTTTATGAAAATCTGGAAATATCTGTGTTAGTAAAAACAACTTAATAGTTTTAGCACACTACTATTGACATCAAATCATCAATACAACAACCAAAGTAGTAACAAAACCTACAATGCATCCCTTAAATTAAAGAATAATCTTTAATCTTTAATAGATAGAGCGATAAAACCTTGCTTGAGCTGTCGGGCATATACGTTTCCATTGTCAAAATGGAACGAACTATAGAGATTAGAGTAGCGTGCTTGTTTTCAAACTTATGTGGCCTGACGAAGGTAAAGTAAACCTAGCTCCAACATGGTGATCCAGAAACAACTCAGGAGGTGTTTGGAACTGTTTCTGCTTCTGCTTCTTTTTTAAAGCAGAAGCAGAATCAGAATAAGTTTTCAGAAGCTGGTCCCCAGCTTCTAAAAAACTGCTTCTAGAAGTAAATTAGAGCACCAAAAGTACTTCTGCACTTTCACCCAAACACTCTAACTTCTTTTGCTCCCTGAAGGAGCAGAAAGCGTTTTCAGAATCATATCCAAACACCCCTTCAATTATCTCTGCTCAGTGGTGTAAACTACGACCTTCCTGATGCAGTTGCTAATCTCTAAAAGGTGCGGACACTTTATGTGAAATATTTTACTTTTATCATATTTTAAATATTCAGTCATCCATCTTAGGATTCTTAATTAGATATAGTTCACATCATAAACTAGGCATTTTGATTCTTGCTTGCAGTCCCAATTTGATAATCCTGCATTGCATTTTTTTCCTGCTCTTAACAATTCTCATGTAAGCTTCTAGTTTAGTTCCTTTGTTTCTGTAGAAAATAGTATTGAAATCAAAGAGCCGATCATGGAAATCTGATGTTTGATTTCTGTGTGATGTACTATAAGGTTTTCGGTTATGATGACTGATGGAGTATATGGGCCGGGGACCCCCGACCCTTGTACTCCCACTACTGTAATCAGGTCCAACATGCTCAAACAGGCCAAGCCCAGCAAAACAAAGCTCTGAACAGCCCATAACACACAAGGGGCTGCCTTCGGCACATGGGGGCCCGTTAACCGAAGGCTACCGTTTACAGAGCTGAGCTCAGAAACATCACAGTAGAACAAGGCTAGAAAACCAAGCCTTCGGCATATACAACCCGCGGCACAGGGAGGCCCCCGGTTAGAAGAGCCTTCGGCCCAACACCCTTCAACCGAAGGCACTTCCCTCGACAGAATATCCTCTCCAAATGCGCCTGGATCTCCGTACCAAGTACAAACGTCACATCCAACCACCGCATTTAATGCGGCGACATGCAGGTGCGGTGCCACCCGGTTGAAGTGACCTCTCGACCACCAGATTATTGACATGTGTCCCTATCTAGCATTTATTGCTGCTATAAATAGCAATTTATTTCCCCATTGTAAGGCATCACAAATTCACATATTGAATACATATTCTCTCTCTACCTATTGCTCTGACTTCTATCTAGTTATTCCCCGAAATAACCCCTCGGATAAGCTACCCCCGGGTAGTGCTGGGTCCGAAAAACCGAAAACCGAAAACCGAAAACCGAATCAAATTAAACCGAACCGCGACCAAATAAAATCGAACCGCTAAAAACCGAAACCGAATGTAAAAAACTGAATCGAACCGTAGTAGTTTGGTTCGGTTTTGGTTTTTACCCTTCAAAATCGAACCGAACAAATCGAACATAAATAAAATATGAAATTTATTTGTTAAATGTAAGCATTAATCTTAATATCATCAATAATCTTTGAATTTCCTGTGCTAGAGAAATAATGTTTATGCTATGTTTAGTTTAGTTTATAAATGCATTTACACATTCATTGCCCATAACAATGTTGCTATATTAATCTATTATATCTTTTATGTATGTATGTTGCAATTTGTTGCATGATTATAGGTTTTACTACTTATTAGTAGTAATTAACTTTTATTTTTATGTAACTTAATTCTTTTTTGTAACTTAACTTTTTTATATTGATAAAACAAATAAATATTCATCTCGACTAAATCACACAGGACGTATGTATTCATAAACGTTTTTCAAACTAGTCACAAACATTGTAAATTAAGAATAGATACACACTTTTATCTCTCCCGCATACTCATATAATTCAAGACATATTTGTTTATTATTATTTTCTTCATTTGTTCAAGTATGCTTGCATTCTTATGTAATATGTTTGAACCCTCCAACTTTTATATAAATTTTAAATTAAGTGACAAATATTTTGTAAAAAACCGAAAAAATCGAAACCGAACCGAAACAAACCGAACCAATCAAACCGTGGTTTGAAGTTTTGGAGTGTAAAACCGAACCGAAACCGAACCGAACTTTTACTTTGATTCCGTATTTGGTTTTAGGTCAAAACCGAACCGAAAGAACCGAACCCACCCCTACCCCCGGGTACACTATCCATCATTTGGTGCTCTCGTTGAGAGGTCGAACAATCAAGTAAGAAACCCTCCCCTTCAGCTCCAAACACCTACCAAAATGGGAAGAACCACTCGTGCCCAGTACAAGACCCTTGAAGACAACAACCTGGCCCTCGGCGAAGTCGACGCCCCCAGAGCCTCCAACAAGGCTCCCGAGGGCGGAGTCATCGCTGGATTGGAACAGGCTCCTGTCGACCTACGCCTTCAGCTCCAACAAAATGCTCCTGATGCCCGCCTTGACATCGAATCCCGAAGGAGGGACCGGAGCGAAAATCAAGTGAGCCCTCCGGCCCTCACTATTGACGTGCAGTCGGCATTTTCTGTCTTCATCCAAACACTCACCCAGAATCCAGGTGCCTTCAGCACTCTGGTACCGCTTCAACCGCAGATCGGGGAGAACACCATTCCTCCCCCTCCTCCGCCCCCCTTTCGTGAACCCTATCCTCCGGCTAGGGAATGCCGAAGGGCCGTAGAGTGCTAAACCTCTTTTTGAGGAGTGTTAGAACACCCAGGAAAGAAGCGCGCATTCGCGCTGCCAGAGAGCGTATCGAGGATTTGGAGGGGAGGCAGCAAGCACTGCGG